ACTCCTGGTCTGATTGGGGAAGGGACTAGAGAAAACTACAGAGTCCGACATTGTTTTGGCAAAGTTGCACACCGATTATACTATGAAAAAATAATGTATTTAAAAGTTTTTAATTAAATTGCTAAGCAGATAAGCTACTCAGAAACACCACTGTGTTTGAGCAGGAACAGGAAGTGATACTCTACCACAGAGCGAGCAAACACCAAGTGACAGCGCCACCAAGAGTGGAAAATCTCCAGGCAGCCAGGCAGGATATCCAGGCTTCAAATACATTCTGGAAAGATGAGTCGGCCACAGTTCCTCCACAGTGCTGTTAAAGACTCATTGCCAGTTTTTGCAAATGTTTGATTGCATTTGTTGCTGCTAAGGGTAGTACAACCTGCATTTAGAAACTGCTTTTTGTGTTTACTTGTGTCATCTTTTTCTAATATTTAAATTTGTTTGATGATCTGAAACATTTAAGTGTGACAAATGTACAAAAAAAAAAGGAAATCGGGAAGGGGCCAAACGTTTTCACACCACTGTATGTGTTTCTCTAATCTTTGGATTTCTTTAGGTCTTGTTTTATTTTAGTTCTCTTTTGTCTCCTGTGTCTTGCATTTAGTCATTACCCTCCAGCTTTACATTAAAGGAAATAACAAGGACTGCAAAAGCATTCATGACACCACTTTATATCTTTATTTTTATGATGTAAACCATAGTACAAGACAGAGTGGCAGGTTCTCTACAATCTTGCATTGTGTGTGTATTGCACTTTAAGGTTATCGCTTCAGATGATGCAAAACGATTGGTATTACCTGGAACATGCTTTTTACACAGTTGAAGTTTGTTATTATGCTTCTTTGTTGGGTTTTAATTCCTCAGATGACTCCTTTCAACAATGTCCTTGTCTTTTAAAGCCATAGGATATATACATTACCATGTCATCTTAGGTAATGCCGCTTGACATATGCATTTGTGAATTTGTCTTTTGTCTTGCTCACAGTCCTAACATCCTGGTCCGTATAGCTGCAGTAGCCAAAACATTTTAATATCTGTTGCCCACTGCTCCTCCTGCTTGTGTGTCAACCTAATATGATATTGCTCTTGCACTATTCAAACCACATGATTCATTTGCTACTGGGCTCTTCTAAATGTGACAGTTTTTGTTTTAGTTCTATGAATGGTAAAGCTTTAAGGACTAGAGTCGGTCATAAAATAGGATAAAATATTGCCAAATCAAGTAACTCTTTGATGAAGGATAAAAACTCTTGAACTCTAGTGTTTTTTGTTGTCTTAAAAATTTTGAGTGCAGCTGTTGTGGTATTAATAAGATGGAATTTAACTGAATTTTTGTTTATAATTTTTTAGAGTGAGTCATGGTAATCTCACAGAGAGAAGTTGTGAAGCTCTGTCCTCGGTTCTCAACTGCCAGTCCTCTAGTCTGAGAGCGTTGAACCTGAGTAACAACAACCTGCAGGATTCAGGCATAAAGCGTCTGTGTGCTGGACTGAAGAGTCCTCACTATAAACTAGAAGTTCTTGTGTGAGTGAAGTGGGAATGTGTTTATCTGTTTACGTAAATATTCATGTCCCATATTTAATATTTTAATGTTTTACAGATTAAAAAAATATATTTTTTGATGAGTTTAAGACAATGGCAAGCTCTATTTCTAAACTAGCATTAAATATTGCAAAATCTAGTAGCTCCCTTAGTAAGCATGATTCTGCTTTAACACCTGTGTTATTTGTCTTCCTAATTTTTCAGACTGAGTGACTGTGACCTCTCAGAAAGAAGTTGTGAAGATCTGTCCTCACTTTTCAGTTCAGAATCATCTAGTCTGACTGAGCTGGACATTAGTAGCAATAACTTTCAGGATACAGGAATGAAGCATCTCTGTATTGCACTGCACAGTCCATACTGTACACTCAGAATTCTCAGGTCAGACCAACTGATATTGCTTATTTATTTGTTTTTGTTTTTCTATCAATTTAAAAAAAAACATACATTACAAAATGTTGCTAAGTTGATTTCATTCACACTTTGTGTTATATTTGTATTTTAAGCATTGGAATTTAATTTTTGATTTGTTTAACATAAAATAAAAAATTCAGTCAGTAATTAAGCAAGATTACATATTTACACATCTAGATTAAGGAGCTGTAATCTCTCAGAGAGAAGCTGTGAAGATTTGTCCTCAGTTCTTAGCTCCCAGTCCTCTAGTCTGAGAGAGGTAGACCTGAGTAACAACGACCTGCAGGATTCAGGAGTGAAGCTTCTTTCTGTTGGAGTGAAGAGCTCAACTGAGATGAAAACTCTCAGGTCAGATAAAGTGATATCCTTTTGATAAAATTACAAAAATACATTTTAACTATTTTAGGTAATTATATGAACTATATGAATGCTATTATTGTTTTTTTTTCTTTTTTTTCTAAGTCATAGTAAAGAGCACCATTTCTGACTTGTTTAACACAAGCTTTCGCTATTTCCAAATCTAGTAATTTGTCACTAAGGTAGGAATACTCATTAACACCAGTATTTCTTTTTCCTTTGTTCTTCCTAATAAATTTTAGACTGAGTGGCTGTAAACTCTCTGAGATAAGCTGTGAAGTTCTGTCCTCAGTTCTCACCTCCCAGCCTTCTAGTCTGAGAGAGCTGTACCTAAGTGACAATGACCTGGGCGATTCAGGAATTAAGCTGCTGTCTTCTGGAGTGAAGAGTACACTGTGTAAACTGGAAATTCTCACGTAAGGATTTAGACTTTTCAATAAAGATCATTTACTGCATGAATAAATGGTAATTTAGATGATAACTCATTTAGAATTGTATCTGTAAGTATGTATTGGTACATTACCATTTCTCTAAATGTTCCAAATTCTACCTATTTAAAAAATATTAATGCTAGTGGCTAGTATCATACGTTAATAATAACTGGTCCACAAGGTCTAGTGTGCACCAAATCTACTCCTGCACACTGAACTTGGTGGTGAAACTTTGCAGTAATGACTTGTAACTTGTCTGTGAGTTCAGATCTTGGGGAATCTTGCGCAGTTCTAGGGTACCTAAAACTTTGCACTGAAGCTGTGACAACTGTCAAGGGAGGTGGGACTGAAAGAGATTGAAGTCTGTCACTTTACATTACAGCTGAACAATGGTAAAAGGTCTCAAAATCCAGCCTTTTGTTTTTAAAATGATAGAGTGCTGTAACAGTTTTTCTGTATATTCTTTTGCTAATAGTAAATAATTTTATTTATTAATTACAAATACAATTAAAGTATTAATAAGATGAATGGGAAATACAGTTTGATTAGTGAAGGTGTTCCAATATCTGACTTGTGACTGATTCAGTTTGTATGTGTGTGCCTCTGTACTCGGATTCTTAAATAAGCAGAAATATAAGCATGGCACACAGCTAAGAGCTTGTCTGAGATGTATATTGCTTGGACAGAATGACTAAACAAACATTTATATAACATTTTATCTAACCATGAAGTATTTAATAAAATAAATAAGTATATTGTGATTGATGAGCTAAGAGTTTCTAGAGGAACAAGTGAGAGAAAATATTCCTATGTTTATGAATTAAACATGGATGTATGATGATGATAGCTGGATAACAGGTGATTACGCCAGAGTAGCAACCACTACCCAAACTCTTTGGACCCACAAATCGGTTTTGGACTTTTTGTTGGACTTTTTGACTTTGCTAGATTATAAATTCAGGAAAATTTGTCACAAGTGAGTCAATGTGGTTGTGTTGGTTATTCTGACACAAACACCATGCTGATCCCACAAATGTTCAATGGGGTTGAGGTCTGGAGTGCAGCCAAGCTATTCAATCCCCTCACTCAGAAATTATGAAGGTAGTCTCTGGAGAGACTTGTTTTTCCAGTGACTGCAAGACCCCTCCACACAAGTCACATTGCCTCTACCAAATGCTGTTACCCTATCAGTGCACCAATCTGGATAGTGTTCCCCATATCGTCTTCACGGTTTATCCTATGATCAAATTGGCTTAGGAAAAATCTGACCTTCTTACTCAGTACCACTAATCTGGTGCCAATCAGGCATCTGAAATTCAGCACCTGGAGTGCAAGAAGCTCAAAACAAGAGTCAAAAGGAGAATAAGCAATTCGGCACTGGCAAAAATGATTTGAGAAGTTTGGTTTGTTTGTTTGTTTTTTAATATTATGGGCACAACCCACATGCTCGACTCTGCTGCTCAACCCACAGAAGTATTCTCCTTAGCACTATTTAGTGATTCAAAACTCCCTAGATCCTGAAACCTGAAACCTGTCCAGTTCAACTCTGGATTCTCTTTATTTGCTCTGCTTAATTCTCCACACTCTGGAATCTCTGCTCAATTCAGTTACTATTCCCATGCTGCGCTAAACCAGTTGTATTGCTATTTTGTGTGTCTGCAGACTGTCAGGATGTCTGATTACAGATCAGGGCTGTGATTCTCTGGCTTCAGCTCTGGAGTCCAACCCCTCCCATCTTAGAGAGCTGGACCTGAGCTACAATCATCCAGGAGACACAGGAATGAAGCTGCTCTTGGCTGGATGGAAGAATCCAGCCTGGAGACTTGACACTCTCAGGTATGGAGAGAATGTGTGATAGAGGAGGAAGAGCTGAGCCCTCTACTACAAAGCAAGGGCAACATAGATGAATTTTCTTTTACTTACCTGGTTTCACTCACATTAACATCAGAAAGGGGACAAGCAGTCACACGAAGCTAGTTATCAAACTGATAAGTAAACCTATGGTTTATCAATTTAGTTATAAGTGGATTCATATGAAAGGAGTGGCACTACCACCCACATAGCAAGCAGGTCTGGCCTGGATCTGGTATCAAGCCGGCACTGCTGGCTGACTTCTGGCATGATAAGACGCATGTAATCCAGATATGGGCTAGACCTGGCATAGATGGCACTGTCTATGTGATGGCATGTCATATCTGGCCCGATTATGGTTTGGTTTATGTGGCCCAGGCCCATAGAAAACAGGTCTGGCCGGGATCCGGCATCAAGCTGGCACTTCTGACTGACCGGTGTGATGGCAGAGTGTATGTAAACCAGATGTGGGCCAGGTCTGCCCTATTTATGTTCCTTTTTTCCTATTTTAGTTAGAAGACCCAAATACCATGTTGCAATACTATACTGCTATGGTAGTCAACATTTCAAATGCAGGTTTAACAGGTATCTGAGTGTACACTTTGTCCAAAACCTAGTGAGGGTTTACTCATCTTTGCCAGTGGGTGGCTGTAGCTCAGGTGGTAGAGCAGGTCATCTATTGATTGGAAGGTTAGTGGTTCGATCCCTGGCTCCTCCGATCTGCATGTTGTGAATGTGTATGAATGTAGTTAGAAAGCACTCAGTTAAGAGAAGGTGTGTGCGATATGGTGAACGTGGCATGTTGTATAGAACACTTTGAGTAATCTGGGAGAGTCGAAAAATGCTATATAAGAATCAGTCCATTCACTGGCTGAACACAGTTTCGTCATGTTCCTTTTGCACTACTATGCACATGTTGTTATTACATGGCTTAATTAAGGTACACATTAGGCTGACATCTGGGGCCAGAGCTGAAACTGTTCTGGGCCAGCAGTGTGTCTGCAACTGGCCCGTGGCTGCACACAACTTACACATGGCCCACATACCGCAAAGAATGACGGCCCTTTGGTGGGTCAGACCAGGTTTGCCAGAGGTAATCCACACACGGGCCAGCAAAGGACCACCAGTATGTCTGCAACTGTTTGCAGTTGTGTGATCGTTATCGAATAAAATTGACGAGCTCTCAGCACTGGTATGGAGTCAGAGGGAATACCGAGAGTGCAGCCTGATGTGTTTCACTGAATCATGGATGCACCAGGACATTCCCGACGAGAATGCTTCCGTGGAAGGCTTCCACACTGTTCGGACAGACAGGGACAGCATCGTTAGCGGTAAGCGGAAAGGAGGTGGGCTTGCTGTTTTAGTTAACCAGTGGTGTAACCCTGCCAACATAACAATCAAAGAAAGGATTTGTTGCCCAGACATTGAACTATGTGCTGTAGGACTCAAGCCGTATTATTTACCCAGGGAATTCTCTCATGTCATCTTGGTGGCTGTTTATGTTCCTTCCTCTGCTAACCCCACAGCTGCATGTGACACTATCCACCCTGCCATAGCCCGGTTACAGACTCAGCACCTGAGTGCCTTTATTGTGATGTCGGGTGACTTCAACCATGTATCACTGGACAATACACTACCAACATTCAGACAATATGTGGACTGTCCCACCAGGGGAGAGAAAATTTTAGACCTACTGTATGCTAATGTCAAGGATGCATACAGCTCCTCCTCCCTCCCCCCACTTGGTAGTTCAGATCATAACCTGATTCACCTCACCCCACGCTATGTGCCAATTGTGAGGAGGGAATCTGTGACCATGAGGAGCATTAGGAGGTGGTCAGAGGAGGCCTTAGCAGAACTACAGGGCTGTTTCAAGGTGACCGACTGGGAAACACTCTGTGAACCTCACGCCGAGGACATCAATGGGCTTACTGAGTGTATCACAGACTACATAACTTTCTGCACCGAGTCCATTGTTCCAGCTCAGACTGTTCATTGTTACCCAAATAACAAGCCGTGGGTGACTAAGGACATCAAAGCCCTCCTCAACGACAAGAAGAGGGTAATCAGCAACATAGGGGCACCACAGGGGACTGTCCTCTCCCCCTTCCTCTTCACCCTCTACACCACAGACTTCAGCCACTGCACAGAGACCTGCCATCTTCAGAAGTTTTCTGATGACTCCGCGGTGGTTGGATGCATCAGCAGGGATGATGAGACAGAGTACCGGGCTGTGGTCAACTGTGGTGTGAGCAGAATCATCTTCAGCTCAACGTGCCAAAGACCAAGGATTTGATAGTGGACTTCAGGAAGACCAGGAAACACTTGACCCCTGTTTCAATCCAGGGGGTCAGTGTTGACATTGTGGATGACTATAAATACATTGGAGTACACATTGACAATAAACTGGACTGGGCTAAAAACACCACACCACTTTACAGAAAGGGCCAGAGTCGTCTCTAATTTTTGAGGCGACTGAGGTCCTTCAACATCTGCCAGAAAATGCTCAGGATTTTCTATGAGTCTGTTGTGGCCAGTGCGATCCTCTATGCTGTTGCATGCTGGGGGAGCAGGCTGAGGGTCGCAGATGCCAACAGACTTGATAAACTGATTAATAAGGCCAGTAATGTTGTGGGGATAGAGCTGGACTCCCTCAAGGTGGTGTCGGAGAGGCGGATGTTGTCCAAGATAAAGACAATGTTGGATAACACCTCCCACCCACTCCATGACATGCTGTCACTCCATGACATTCTTCTGAACTAAAGAAGCTTCTCGGATGAGAGGTGAAACGTCTTCAAGCAACTTAAAGAAGTCCAGACACTTTTCTTTGCAAGCTCCTTTGACTACGATGACCTGGATGACTGAGAACCTTCACAGACATATCTTCTGTTCTGGGTCAATCTGACCTGCAACATAACAGGAGGGTTAAGGCAGAAAACAACATAGCTGCTGCAGGCAGCTGCATTGTGACTGTCTGTGCGAGAAGAATTAAAATGCAGTACATTAATACTACATTTTGGAACCTGTCTACTACATTTTGAAACCTAGTGTTGCCTGTCAACACTAGGTTTTCTGTCATGCTGCAGGTCTTGTCATGCTGCATCGATAGCAGTTTCTTTTATTTATTTATTTTCTTCCAAGAGCTGGGTCATTGTCTTTTTGAGGAATTTTACTGACTCTCTGAGCCTGAAACTTTTTGTGGAGGGACAGGCATGTGTCAAACATGGACATTTTTTGTTTGTTTAGTTTTTTAATCAGTAGACATCAAAATGTCCACCATGTCACTGGTATGCAGAAAGGCTGCTTCAGGAGAGTCCACAGGACATCTTTTAATGGTGAACAGAGTATCTTTGCTTTTGGAAGGAGTCTGTGGCTTATTTGGTTCCCCATAACAATGCGCTCAAAAGTAATAAATAAAATAAATAATAAAGTTGCAATTTACTGCAATTTACTAGATCCTCTTCACTGTCCAGAGTCTGGAGTGCTAAAGTTCTTGAAAAAAATAGCTTTTTTAAAAAAAAAATTACCTTAAAGGCTGTTTTGAACTAAGTTGTCAGAGAAAACTAATGACTGAAATGTATAACAGTGGTGTGCCACCATACTCAATAATTGCTGAGATTCTTGTTGAGGTCTCCCATCACTACACCATCAAACTTGCCAATAACCCCCTTAACTCATTTGACAACATTTTGTCAAACCATATGACACACTGACCCAGACAGAGGCGGCAATTCTTTGACAATGATGTGCTGTATACTGCACATGCAGCATCTGGAACACGGAGAGAGTGGTAAACAAATGTAACCTGTTAAACATAAAAAAAAACCCAGTTATCCTGGAACAGCAACTCATCATCTGCTGACTGGAGATGTGAGGGTCGCATTTCTGATCTGCTGACAATAAGTAATTGAGACCTTATTTGAAATAAAAGAGCATGTTGGTGTGCAAGTATAGTTTTTGAGACTTTATTTTATATTAATATATACAGTATTTATTTGGAATCCAAGAAAGATGATTCTGTTAGACACAGTTTTTTCAGTGGAAAGACAACATCTAGATTGCATGTGTCAAACTCAAGACCTGTGGGCCACATGTGGCCCGCCATGTCATTTTATGTGGCCTGCGAGAGCTTCTGCATGATTGTCTGAAAATACGTTTACTGCATGCTGGTTAAAAGTGCACATTGACCATAAACTACATCTCCCACAATACATTTTGATGGTTTGAATCCCAATGCCCCCAAGGAAGAACATTTAGTTTAATGTGGTGTACCGCCAGATTGGTTATTTATACAGTGGGGCAAAAAAGTATTTAGTCAGCCACCAATTGTGCAAGTTCTCCCACTTGAAAAGATGAGGCCTGTAATTTTCATCATAGGTATACCTCAACTATGAGAGACAAAATTAGAAAAAAAAATCCAGAAAATCGCATTGTCTGATTTTTAAAGAATTTATTTGCAAATTATGGTGGAAAATAAGTATTTGGTGACCTACAAACTACAAAGATTTCTGGCTCTCACAGACCTGTAACTTCTTCTGCAAGAGGCTCCTCTGTCCTCCACTCGTTACCTGTATTAATGGAACCTGTTTGAACTTGTTATCAGTATAAAAGACACCTGTCCACAACCTCAAACAGTCACACTCCAAACTCCACTATGGCCAAGACCAAAGAGCTGTCAAAAGGACACCAGAAACAAAATTATAGACCTGCCCCAGGCTGGGAAGACTGAATCTGCAATAGGTAAGCAGCTTGGTGTGAAGAAATCAACTGTGGGAGCAATCATTAGAAAATGGAAGATATAGAAGACCACTGATAGTTTCCCTCGATCTGGGGCTCCACGCAAGATCTCACCCTGTGGGGTCAAAATGATCACAAGAATGGTGAGCAAAAATCTCAGAAACACAGGGGGGGACCTAGTGAATGCAGAGAGAGAGCTGGGACCAAAGTAACAAAGGCTACCATCAGTAACACACTCAAATCCTGCAGTGCCAGACGTGTCCCCCTGCTGAAGCCAGTACATCTCCAGGCCCATCTGAAGTTTCCTAGAGATCATTTGGATGCTCCAGAAGAGGATTGAGAGAATGTCATATGGTCAGATGAAACCAAAATAGAACGTTGTGGTAAAAACTCTACTTGTCGTGTTTGGAGGAGCAAGAATGCTGAGTTGCATCCAAAGAACACCATACCTACTGTGAAGCATGGGGGTGGAAACATCATGCTTTGAGGCTGTTTTTCCGCAAAAACGATCAGGATGGCTGATCCGTGTAAAGGAAAGAATGAATGGAGCCATGTATTCAGATTTTGAGCGAAAACCTCCTTCCATCAGCAAGGGCATTGAAGATGAAACGTGGCTGGGTCTTTCAGCATGACAATGATCCCAGGGTAACGAAGGAAAGAAGCATTTCAAGGTCCTGGAGTGGCCTAGCCAGTCTCCAGATCTCAACCCAATAGAAAATCTTTGGAGGGAGTTGAAAGCCCCAAAACATCACTGCTCTAGAGGAGATCTGCACGGAGGAATGGGCCAAAATACCAGCAACAGTGTGTGAAAACCTTTGGAAGACTTACAGAAAACATTTCACCTCTGTTACTGCCAACAAAAGGGTGCATTACAAAGTATTGTGATCAATGCAAAAATGATAAAAAGATAAGATAAAAATAAGATAAAAGATAAGATAAAAATGTGATTTTCTGGAAAGGGTTCTCAATTTGTCTCTCATAGTTGAGAGACAAATTGAGAACCCTTTCCATCATACCTATGATGACAGTTACAGGCCTCTCTCATCTTTTTAAGTGGGAGAACTTGCACAATTGGCGGCTGACTAAATACTTTGTTACTCCACCGTAGACATATGTGGTATCTACCAAAATGTCAGAATTTCAGCTAAAAGCTCATAAAACCATTACAATGGTGACCAAAAAGCTAAAACAGCAAACGATTAAAGAGCAGTTAAACAGATTCCGCAAAAAGACTTAAACACAAATTGTGGATCCCACATACAGGACACGCCCATCGGGTGCAGAAAGGCGAAATCTCACAGATTCAAAAACTGCAGATTTTGTCATTTTCCAACCAAAATTCACTGAACCAGCAGCAAAAGATTAAAACTACACTTCAGGTTTGATAAACATAGTCATGAATTCCCTCTTACCTTGGCTGTCTTGCTTCCACCGTAATAAACTGCACTTCCTTCACAGCTCGAGTTTCCCATTAAAAATCTCTATTTTCTTACTTGCTTGCTTATTACGCACCAGTCTACCGTTGTGTCGGCCACTGTTTTTTGGGTTTTTTCCCGAAAAAATGACATCTTACAAGAAAGCCTAACTTCTGCTATTCAGTACCTAAGAAATATAAACTTTAACAATTTTTGCCTAATTGCAAAACACTTAGCTACGTTTCTAATAAAACCTCTGTAACATCATGAGAAACACAACAGCTTATGTTTTTCCACTTTCTACTATAATTTTTTTTTTAATTACTAGTTTAAAAAAAAAAAAACCGACAACAACAACAACAACAACAACAAAAACAACAAACAAAAAGACAGTCTGGGCCATAAGCTACCAGATCTACTAGAAGTAAACTACACATTTATTTCTTACAATTTAAGTCCAAAGAGTCATGCTTACAGATTTTTCTTTGGCACAACAGCTTTATCTTTAACATGCAGAAAAAGAGTTCAATATTTTACTTCTTTACACCAACAGAAAGGGGAGTTTCAGTGTTCCAGCCTGCTTAAGATCAAAGTGGGCTGTATGTGGCCCGCAGTGTAAAATGAGTTTGATAACCCTGGTCTAGATTAACAGATGAATAGAATACATTTTCTGGGATTTCCTTTCCTGCATGAGTGATCATGCATTAAGACATATTTATATGGAACTGAGACTGGTATGAAATAAGATTTTACCTCTTTATATATACACCTATACTGTACGTATGTTATTGATGTAACTTCATAATATTTTTCAGTGCTTTTTAAATTCAACATCTATCTTACCATCTCACTCAGCAAAAAAAGGAACCACTTAAATCGACAGAAATACTGATTTTATTGATATAAAATTGTATTTAAAATATACAAATACTTTCCCATATTGCCCAGCTTGAAGTGTATTTGTGAAAATGTTGGACTGTTCCTTTATCAGTGTCTAACAGTATGTGTATGAGAGCCATGTAATGTCCATGTATACATGCTGAAAGAGACTGTACTGGTCTGACCCCCCTCCTCCTTTCAGGGTGGAGCCTGCTGGGCGCCAGTGGTTGAGACCAGGTCTGAGGAAGTGTAAGTGTGTTTTTAATGTGATTCATGAAAACAAAACAGCACACATTCAACCATCTTCAAACTGTCACATCACTCATTCACATCTCTGATGTCAGGAGTCATCATCAAAGTGTCAATCAATGAACAGATGATGGATCTGTAACTGCAGCTGGATTGTGTTTGTTCTCTCTATCAGATTCCTGTCAACTCACAATCGACACAAACACAGTGAACAGAGAACTCAAACTGTCTGACGACAACAGGAAGGTGACACGTGCGGAGGAGTATCAGTCATATCCTGATCATCCAGACAGATTTGATTGGTATCAGCTGCTGTGTAGAAATGGTCTGACTGGTCGCTGTTACTGGGAGGTCGAGTGGAGAGGAAAAGTTGATATATCAGTGAGCTACAAAAGAATCAGAAGGAAAGGAGAGCTACTAGATATTAATTACTGTTTGTTTGGGTGTAATGATCAGTCCTGGAGTCTGGAGTGCTCTGCTGATGGTCCTCATTGTGTCAGGCACAATAAGAAGCAAATTCTTATTCCCATCTCCTCCTCCTCCTCCTCCTCCTCTGTCTCTAACAGAGTAGCAGTGTATGTGGACTGTCCTGCTGGCACTCTGTCCTTCTACAGCGTCTCCTCTGACACTCTGATCCACCTCCACACCTTCAACACCACATTCACTGAACCTCTTTATCCTGGGTTTCGATTAGGGTACAGCTACACTGGTTACCTCTTCTCTGGTTCGTCAGTGTCCCTGTGCTGAGTTGAGTGTAAAGAGTGTCCTCCTGTTAGAGAAACACTCTGACTGTTGGACAGATAGTTCAGTCTGTACATGTCTGTCTCTTTCACTCAGAAACACGTTTTCAGATTCATGGATTCAATCAGTTGATGTTTTAAACTGTTCTAAATGATTCCTTGTAAACTTCTTCCTCTTCAGTCCTTTAAAGATGGAAGCTCCCATTATTCCAGGATCTGCATGTTGTTTTTCTGTCTTTTTCCACTCAAAGCTTCACAGTGAATATCAGTATGTTGTGTTTCAGCTCAGTTCACAACCAGCTCCTCTGCATTTTCAACAAGTCTGTGCTCACTAACATGTAATGATTTATCTTGATTTTACTAGGTATGGGTTAATTGGCTTTAAGACATGCTGCTTTATTCAATTTATACACATGTCAACATTTTAACTGAAAGTGGGTCTGAGAGGGTTGATTTTCTGCCTGTCAAAGTTGCCCATCAGTGTTGGTCAAGTTACTTGAAAAAGGTAATTAGTTACTAATTACTTGTCCAAGAAAGTAATCACAGAAGAAATTTGCTTAACATTTACATCTATTTTCTGCATATTCCAGCATATAAAATAAAATAATGTTTTATTTTCACACTCACTGTTTTAAATAGATGAAAGTAAAACACAGCAAAAAATAAATAAAAACAAAGATTCAGCGGCACTAAGTCCTGTCGCTCTTAAATCTATTTTCACATGTTTAGCAGGAGTAGGGCTGGTGTAGGTTTGCCCGGTGCCGCAGCGGTCATTTTAGTGGGGAGATCCGGGGGTTTCTCTATGAATTTCATTTTCCCGTGGCAGCATGCTAGGTGCTTGCTCAGATTTGAAGTTTACTTTTTTTGCTGTAGAAAGAACAGTGTACAGCAGGTGCTAATGTGGAAGCCACCTGTAGGTAATTGTGTTATGAGACTTTGAGATATTTGTAGGCATGTAAAAGCCGAAGGTGTGGTTTAGAAATAAAAATAAAAGACCAACAACGTCTGTCAGGTCTGCACCTGTATAGAGTCGATTCACTCTAATCAGCAGAAGGTGGACTCTTGGTTGTTTTGTTATTTGTTGTGCATTCAGCTGTTTAAAAATAAAAAATGAATGATACCGTGGGGTGAAAGTGGGCTATTAAGTGTGTCATCAACAGTCTTCAAAACTTTTAAAATGATGTCTGTTTAGAGTGAAGAGTCAGTTCATTAAAGTTGGACTCTTAGTGGCTTGATTCTACTCGTGACATGCAAAATTTCTGATTAAGTGACTGATATAAATAAAAAAATAATAGGGAAAACTTGGAATCAGGGTTTGAAATACCTTTGTGTAACCTGCTCTAACTCTTATATTTAACTTGTACATAATGCATTATCACGGGGTCACAAGACAGCAAATTACTGGGGGTGGGGTGAAAGTGGGTCATTGAATATTAAAACAGAACATAACTTGCCAAGAAAAGTAAGAAAAGCATTGTAATTATCACAGAAACAAATCCTCATTAAAATAATTACACCAAATAAATGCCTGTTTGCACCCTTACCTTCATACGAAGTCCCAGTGGATATGAATCAGAAATGGCATACAGATATGGGATGGTTTTAGGATGAGATAGAAGGCAACATTTTAAAGTGATACCTCAAATTATTCTAACCATCATTTTTGCAGAAATAAATACTGGAGACACACAAAAGTTAAATTGAAGAGAGGGGAAAACAGTTAGATTTTGACAAAAAAACTGGATGCGTCAAAGCCATAATAGCTAAAAGAGACCTGATAGAAAAAATTAAATAAGGAAAAGCATTTTAAAGAAATTCATAAATTTTCAAGGAATATACAGCTCTACAGGGTGGTCCATTTATATGGATACACCGTGATTACATGGGAATGGGCAGGGATAGCTCAGTAGGTAGAGTGGTTGCCCCATGATCGGAAGGTCGGGGGTTCGACTCCACTGAACAGCTACCCTGAGGTACCCCTCAAGGTAGCGTCCCTACACGCTGCTCCCCGGGCACTGCATTGGTGGCTGCCCACTGCTTCACTGGGTGAATGGGTTAAATGCAGAGGAGTAATTTCCCTATGGGGACTAACACATACACATTATACATTATTATACATTATGTGATGATATAAGGTGATATTAAAGTCCTGTTTGTTCCTTCCTCTCACCCGAAGGGCCGCTGGCTGGTGGGATGGATGGCTTCAGTCCCACTGGAGAAGCTGATGACATATAAGACAGGCCCGTTAGTCTGAAGTACTCTGACTCTGTGGGTCGCCCCCTAAGTTACAGTAAATACTTCTGTGCTCCCAGCCTGCACACATTTTTATCAGCGTCACTGCTAACCAATGTTCCCTCTAAGCTGCGCGCGTGCGCAGTTGCACACTGCTGGCACGGTCTCTGCGCACAGAAAATCTGTGTTGCGCACAAAAAATTCTTTATTATTTTTTGGAGTGGTGCAAATAATTTGTGTGGCATCAGATTTGATGCAGAACAGCTGATTCAAATAGTTTGAAATGTTTATTTAAAAAACGCCTTGGCTGCATTTTTAGGTAAACAGCTGCAAAAAACTTTGTTGTTTGCATAACTCAGTTATTTTTTTTTAAGAAGTAACTATATCATTAATTGCCCAACATTGGTCATTATTTACTGTATTTTGCAGACAGAGAGTTACAGACTCTCTCCCAGACCACAGACTCATAATACAGTCAGAGCTTTATAAAAAAATAAATAAATAAAGTTGTGTTTTCAAAACTGGAGTTCAAGTTATTTTTACTTCCAATAGTGTTAACATGCTGCAGGTCATGAACAAGATTGTTTTTAATTTTCATTGTAAGTGGGCTGAAGCAGTTAATTAAAAGTAGTCTTACATAAACGCTGTAATTTGATTATTTTAATAAACATGTAACTTGGATGCTGGTGTGACCACAGTGCACACGTCTGCTGTTGCTCACAGTGGTCCAAGGGACGCTCAGGGAGTTTGTGTGTTCGCTCGGACACATGAAACATTAGAGGGAACATTGCTGCTAACTGGAGCATATTTAACGCTAAAGTTGTTTGAACTACAGATGTCATCATCTTGAGGCCTTCAGCCTGTTTTTGCTTTCTGCACCATGACAAATGGAGCTGAATATGCATTAGAAGTTCATATTTGCAATGCTCTCATGGTTGATGATTCTCACTGTAGAGTAACCAGGAATGGGGAAGTGTTAAAGATCATCTTCTGGAGCATAAGTCGTATTCACACGAATAAAAACCACATCTGTGTATTCAAATGTCCACTGAGTTGTGGCTCGGTGAAAGAGACCGACTCTGGCGATCCTTACACGATCCTCCCTGCTTTGCATTCAGGCAGGTGAGGTGCAGACACGTGCTATCTCGTGCTTGATCAGATGAGAGTCGAATGTCGTGGCGGCCCAGGAAAGCTGCGGTGGAGCACTTCCTGCTACCATCTGTAGACCATTTGCATGACTCAGCAATAAAGGGGGTAATTCAGCAGAATTCTACCATGTCCAGTCAATACAAGTCTGCCTTGGTTTAATTACACTTTACAATAAATTCCAAATTTTAATTGGAGATTGACAATAACAACACTGTTTTTCTTTGAGCCGAAATTTCATTGAAGGAAATTTCACTGCAGCTTTGATGCTGGATGGAGACAGCAACACATTTTAAAACCCTGACGTGGACTGTGGGAATCAAGTCTTTACAATACACACACACACACCGACACACACACACACACCATATAGTGCTACATAGGGGGTATGCTGAAAATAGAGGGTGATAAACTGGGAAGGTGAAAACTAGTGAGTGAGTGACAATGAAAAGTTTTCATACCGCTGCAGCTATAATGGAGCAGACTAACAGCACTAATGTTTCTATTGTTGTCCTCTTCTGTTTCATATTGTGCTGAGTGAGCATGCCGTTAGCCTGACCAATAAGAGCCAAGAGTTGCAGTGATAGGCAGGCTGAACCAGCAAATAGCCAGAAACAACTGGTCAGTGCAGCACCGCCTCAGGTACCACGTACAGATTTTAACTGGCTTCTGACTTTGTGTGGTGTGGAGTATGCTAGATTTTATATAAATATGGATGAGATCAGCTGGGGATGAACAAAATCTCCTTCAGCAACTATTAAGTAGCCAGAAGGGGCCAGACAGTCAATATATTAATTCAGCATTCCTACAGAACAGACTGTAAAGCATTCCCAACACCAAAAGTCAATACAATTATTTTAGCAGCTGATTTCTGTACTTAAAAAAAGCCAAACAAACATTTATTATAGCTCTATTATGTAGGAAATGTAGGAGACGTGGACATAAATACACAGAGGGTTAACGAGGGAAGTGGGAGCACACGGGGAGCACAGGTGACACTGATAATCATAACGAGACACGGCAGGAGTAACACAACACTGACGGGAGACTGTCAAAGTAAAACAGGAAGCACACAGAGACGCAGACCAGATTGGAAGAGAACACAGTCATAGCGGGCTGGGGAAAACATGGAATAAAACACAAGGAGGAGAAACGAGACATGGGGACTGGCAGATACACAGAGGGGGCACACAGGGGGTAAAGTCACGAGGGGAAATCAAATAAGCAACATCTTAACAGAACAACCTAGGGACCCTAAAACTGACATCAAACAACAACAATACAAGACACACAAAAAACCAGGTAGAAGTCCCGGGACCATGACATGCAGGTGGTTACATATGGTTAAAATGATTCAAATGCAGTAAGTATGCACGTTTCTCATATTAATATAGTCCATAACTTGATTATTGTCTGTAGCCCACATGATTAAACACTTTAGTTACATAAAACATGTGAGTTTAGATTTTATCTACTGTATAGCCTGTATAATAAATTAATATGTAGCCCAATAAGTATAAAATCCAGAAAGCTACACAACATGGGGCGGTTCATTTACAA